ACTGATGAGAGTGTCAAGGTTGATGTTTAGAATTTGGGGACAATGAAAGTCCCTCTGGGACACATCCTGTATCTTAGAACTCAGTGCTCTGAATGAGGACACCTGAGCTTCTGGAAGAAGCAAACCCCATATAATCATTCAGCACTCCTTCAGCAGAACCTGATGACATGATACCCTTTAATAACACTAGAACACAACTTAAAGATAAACTTTTCATCAAGGAATTAAAATGTATTTGATCATGCAGTCAGAGAGTGTGGAAGATGCTTTCATAGCCTTTCAAACAAGACCAGTATTGTCAAAGTTTGCTGTTTCCTCTGCCATTTCTTTATTCCCCTCTGCCCTCCAAAGATTTTCAAAGTCTTCAGGGCCATGATGTTACCCAGATTTGCTACCAACTTTCCGTTTTCCCCTGATCTTTTGTTTCAAAGTCTGCTTTCTTTCCCCTGTGTGCTCACTGAAGCCTAATTGTGGGGGTCAAGCTATAATTAGTTTATATATGAAGTTTAATTCATGATGGCTCTTTTGGTATTAGGCTCAAATGGGCTTTGATGTCTGGCTGCAGCTTTGATCCCAGCCCCTCAAATGGTGGTCATCACCAAACTCAAAGGATTTCCCTTTACTCCCTCCCTCCCCCATTTGGAGACAGCTTTCCCCCAATTGCATCATTTGTGTTTGTTTGGTCATAAACGCTGCATGGCATCATTTTGTTGCTTTTCTCTATAGCAAAATGTGCAGCTCTCTTTTACTCTGTCTGCATAGAATGTTCACTACTGGATTAGGAATTTGTAGAGCAATACTTAGGCTCTGGCTGGGATGCTCATAGTTGCTCTGCCCAAGTGCAAGGCTCTAGGCTGTGTGACCTAAGACACCCTTCAGGCTCTTCCCAGGAAGTATGGTTACCCATAGATCACATAACTGTAGCATGCTCAGTCTCTCTCTCTCTCTCTCCCCCCCCCTCATGTGTGCACCTTTAGTTTACTCTTCAGACACTATGCACAGCAGATTCATTCCATCTTTAGTGCCGTACTTTCTAAATGTCCATAAGAAGACAGAGCCCTGGAGGGGTGGAGGGTGAGGAGGAAGCAAAAAAGGAACTAGGAATGAACCAGACTTGAAAGGAGTTAATACATAGCACTAGTGGGGGGGGAGGGTGCAGGGAAGATGCACCAGAACCTGCTTTAAAAAGAAAGAGAAAGAAAAATCAAATCCATAGGGGGAAGTGAGAGAGAGTCAGCGCCAGAAGGGAAACGCCTCTTACAAACCTGCAACTAAAACAAAGAACCAGAGAGGGAAGAGAATCGAGGGAATGAGACCAGAGAGGAGAATATTTGGCTGCTAGGTTAGGAGAATAGGGGCAACCCAGCCAGTTGCACTTAATCTGATGACATTGGGACTTTTCCTGGAAAAACAATTACTGAACTAGGCTCCTTGTTTCTGACTTCATTTGACAGCTCAGGTTTGTTTTAATTGGCATGTGAATGAACAGCATTATTTATTAATGTGTAATGGATCCTTTGGAAAGATTAACCTTTATTCCTATTCGTGACCATTTTATTGGTGGTGCCATCTGAATACATTAGTTTTAATATTTAAACTTGCTGGAAACACTTTTTCATGGAGACGGACAAGCTGTTATGGCAAATGGTTTGCTTTGGACTAATGAGCCAGCTCAAAGTGGCATTTGGTGGTGGTGGGGGTGGGTGGGAACGTGGGGAGATTTGGAGACACAGTGACTTGCCTGTCTGCTCTAACAAGATTTATTAGTAGTGTGTAAAAACGACTCAGCTCCCCCCCCCCAACTGTATAAATATTGTTGTCAATGTGTGACATAACACAGGCCAAAATAATAGGCTCCACCCAACTAGAAGGAATCTAATTCAGAACTAGAAAGCAAGTCATGTATTTAGAAATGAGTAAAATGGAGCAATGACAAAGGACATGGGTGAGAGGCATTTGGAAGGCAGTTTTTGTTTTTTTTTGGTGGTTGTGGGGCTTAAACTCTAGGCCTGGGCACTGTCCTTCAGCTCTTCAGCTCAAGGCTAGCACTCTACCTCTTGAGCCACAGCTCTACTTCTGGTTTTCTGGTAGTTTATTGGAGAGAAGAGTCTCATGGACTTTCCTGCCCGGGCTGGCTTTGAACAGTGATCCTAAGATCTCAGCCTCCTGAGTAACCAGGATTACAGGCGTGAGCCACTGGCTGTGTGTGTGTGTGTGTGGTGTGTGTGGTGTGTGTGTGTGTGTGTGTGTGTGTGTGTGGTGTGTGTGTGTGTGTGTGTGTGTGTGTGTTGGTGCTTGGATTTGAAGTAAGGGCTTGGGAGCTGTCCCAGCTTTTTCTGCTTAAAGCTAACACGCAATCACTTAGGCTACAGCTCCACTTCCAGGGTTTTTGTTGTTGTTTGTTTGTTTGTTTGTTCCTCCTGGCTAATTGAAGATAAGTGTCTGAGGGATTTTCCAGCTCCACTTGGCTTGGAACTGCAATCTTCAAATCTCAGCCTCCTGAGCAGCTAGGAATACAGGAATGAGCCACAGGCATCTGGCTAAGTCATTGTTCTTCAGTACCTTAAAATTAAGGAATAAAATTAGTTCTTGTATTATCAACTAGGGTTTGACATGCAATAGGCATAAAGAATGGGTGAGTTAATCCACTGGTTTCTGTACGCCTAGGAACATTTGAATGTAACTCTACTTTTAGACCTAGATCTTAGGATCTTGTTAAGGCTGTAGTTCCCTCCATGTCTGTGGGGGGTGGAGGGGGTGGGGAGGAAGCAATGCAGAGGAGAAGTGAGTGGCAAGGGAGCTTTTGTTTTTCTTTTTGGTAAATGTGGACTTAATGCTATTTGTTGTAGAGATTAAATGGGTCCTATTAAGTTTTAAAGTGAGCTAAAAAGTATGCTAATCAGAAAACAATGTCCAACTAACCTACCTTCTCCAGAGTCTAGCAGTAAGCAATTACCAGTTGCATGCTAACCAGGCCCAGTGCTAAGAGCTGTGACCTGTGGAGGGTAGTAAAACAGTCCCAGCCTTTAGGGAGTTTTTGTGATGTGGCAGGAGAGAGGAGGTTCACATATACACCTACATACACAGAGGTAAGTGTGGAAAGCAGATAAAGAACAAAGCAATAGCCTGCAGTTGATGAGTTCAGAGGGAAAGGGGCATCACACTACACTGAAGAGGGAAAGAACAATTCTTTTCTTTTTTTTTTTTTTTTTTGGTCCGGTAGTGGGGCCTGAACTCTGGGCCTGGGCGCTGTCCCTCAGCTCTTCAACTCAAGGCTAGCGCTCTACCACTTGAGCCACAGCGCCACTTCCGGCTTTTTTCTTTTTGCTTATGTGGTGCTGAGGAATCGAACCCAGGGCCTCAGGCATGCAAGGCAAGCGCTCTACCACTGAGCCACCTTCCCAGCCCGGGAAAGAACAATTCTTAGCAAGGGTAAGCAGCTAGGCAAAATTGTACAATTATAAAATACAGATACTTTGTGAATGAACTACAGCAAATCGTGGATTGCTGGGTTCAATTTCTGAGGTGCTTGGATGCACTGCATATATATATGTGTGTATATCTATCTATCTATCTATCTATCTATCTATCTATCTATCTATCTATCTATCTATCTATCTATCTATCTGTGTTGCTGTTCAGTTGACAAGCCAGACCTCTACCCCACTGTGAGCAGTCTCTAGCAAAGGTAACTGTATCACAGGTGACACTCCAAGGGGGAAATTTGTAAGATCTGCAGGAAAAACAAAGGGGGGAGGGGACTTACATTAATTCTTACAGCCAGTGTGCCAGCCACGTTGTAAACGCACAGCGCAAACACACACTGCATGCTGTATATTGTCATTTCTCCAAGAGGTAAGTTGCATTAGTAGATCCATTTTACCTCTGAGGGGAAGGATGGGCACAGACAGACCGAAGTAACTCGCCTGCATCGCTATCCATGGATGAAACAGGGATTCAGCTTCTGCTAGGACGGCTTCGGAGTCAGTGTCTGAGTGAATGGAGACTAAATAAAAACAATAAACAGAACCCAAATCCTTGGCGGGCGCCTGTGCACGGGTAAACCCTAGCTTTCAGATACCAGCGTTGTAGCTTGCAGAGAGCGACCCCCTCCTGCCTAAGTTTAAATGCCTTCCATCCTTAAGTCTTGTTTAAAAAATTAAGACGTCAGAGGCTCAGAACAACCTCGCGTTGTACTTCAGATTGCTTTCTTTTATGAAAGGAGTTACGCCCCTCCCTCCCCCAACTCGCCAAACACTCAAATACTTTCCGAGTAAATGTCTGGACCGAGTGAAAGAAACCTCGATCGGTCCGCGGACCTGAGTGGGTGTGCGGGGAAAAGTGATCGATGAAGATCGTGGGCGGCAACGTGGTAGAAGTTCGGAAAGTTCTCGGGAGCCCAGCTGCGTGCCCTTCGGCGGACCCTGCCCGTGAGGCGGCTGTAACCAGATGCGGGCTTTAGGCACTGGGAAAGAACCAAAGGAGGAAGCAGGAAAAGCTGGGTGCAGTAAGCGGGAAAGGGGGCTCAGCGGGGTGGGGGAACGGAGAGGGGTGGGCCGAGCGAGGAGGGGGCGTGGTCAGGGGCGTGGCCTGACGGGGGCGTGGCAGCCGGGCGCGCGGAGTAGGCGGGCTGCGGGCTCCTGACAGTCGAGGGGCGGCTGGGGAGCGAGGCTAGGAGTGAGGGGCCGGCGCGGGGAGGCCGGTGCCGGGCGGAGCGGACGGGCCACAGCGGGTGAAGGAGCTTCGGGCAGGCGGTTATCAGCTTCGGGGCCGGGGTTCTGCACGCGCGGTGACAGCAGACGGCGCCACCCGGTCCGGGTGCGCTCCCGCCGGCTGCAGCACGCGGGATCCGAGCGCTCCTCGCCTGCGCCCCCAGCCGCGGTGCGGGGCTCCGCCTCGGGGCGGCATGAGCCGGCGGCCGCAGCCCTAGCGCGCCGCTCCTGTGTCCCGGCAGCTCCGCCGCGGTGCCGGGCGCTGGCCGGCGGGTTGGGGGGGGGGCCATGAAGCCGAGTCCTGGCAGCACGGCGAGGGAGCTGGAGCCAGCGGCGCCGGCCCGGGGCGAGCAGCGTGCGGCGGAGCCCGAGGGGCGCTGGCGGGAGAAGGGCGAGGCGGAGTCGGAGCGCCAGCGCACCCGGGAGCGGCAGGAGGCCACGCTGGCCGGGTTGGCGGAGCTGGAGTACCTGCGCCAGCGCCAGGAGCTGCTTGTCCGGGGCGCCCTGCGCTGCTCCGGGGGCGCGGGGGCCGCGGCGCGGGGCGCGGGCGAGCTGCCGGGGGACGCGGTGCAGCGCAGCCGCCTGGAGGAGAAGTTCTTGGAGGAGAACATCTTGCTGCTGCGGAAGCAATTGGTAAGTCCGCGCCCCAAGGTGAGCACGGCAGGCCTGCGGCGGGGCTGGAGGGGGGCCGCGAGCGAGGGCACCTCTTGGCGACTCGCGACCCCGCACCTCTCATACCCTCTGGGGGATCCCCCCCCCCACACCCCGAGTGCGGGCTCTGCCCCAGGCGCGTGGGCTACCGACGCCCATCCATTCCTAGGCTGTACATGCTTTGTGTCAGGTGAGGGGCTGGCGACCTCGCGCGGATTGCGGGGATCCGAGTGGCTTCATCGTCCCCCCCTACCACCCCCGCCTGGCATCCTGGCTGCTTAGGCTCGCTGGGTTCCAACCTGAAAAGTCTTTCCAGTTAGATCAGCAAAGCACACGCCCTCTCCGCAGAGATTTGCGAACCCTGACTCGACGTGCCATTTTATTTGGAGATAGCCTTCATTTCATCTCCCGCAGCAGGGAGGGGACAAAAGCCCGGGGCGAGCTGGTGGCGTGCTTCACGGTCCCAGCCCAAGTTTTCAGATTACACTGTAGCGCCTGCGGGGAGCCGTGCCCCTCCCTCCCGGGGCTCGCCTCCCGCCGGCCCCTGCTACCCTGGGCTCTTGCTTAGTTTCAAATAGAAGTTCTTTGTATAGGGTAGCTACAACTCGATGCAAATGATTGCAATTTGGCTGGAGAACTTGACCCCCCCCCTCATATTTGATGTGTTCTGCCAGCTGCGATTGGTGGCTGAGGTGGGAGAAGAATCTGCTCTCAGGAAACATTTATCTTATTGGATTTCTGTCAGGGGCGCAATCATTCTGTGCAGGCTTCATTAATAGGGAAGAAAAAGAACTTTGGACCCGAATGTGTGGAGAACAGCTTTTGACCCCGCCTCAGAGTAATGGCGGCAGCTTTGTTTCAGTCATCTCAAAATGTAGTTTTGGAAACAGCAAAAAGATCCCTGTTTGACCTTGTGGTACGATCGGAAAGTAGACACAGGCGACACGTTGTTAGGAACAAAGTGATTGTGATGTGTGTTGTCATGTGCTCTTTTGCCTTACCTCTTAACAGATTATTTATTGACCATCAGAGTGCTTTTAAGGTTCAGTTTTTTTTTTCCTGAAAAACAAAACTAGAAAATTTGCAAACAAACCTGATTTATATACCCAAGTCTTCTAAGTCAAAGGACAGAAAGGAAGAGTAGCTGTTCTCTTTCAACTAAGGATGTGCGCTGGGGCCTGGGCTATCAGCTGCTTTTGGCATTTCTGTGTTTTGGTGGTAACAGACCCAGTTTGTATGTAACATTCATTTGAACTCATTTTCCTTGTTCATGTCTGATCAGTTACGTTTTACACAGTCTTGTACAATAGCACCTTTTTGTCTTCGTGAATCTCAGCATTGTAAGTGGCACATTCCTATTGTCCATTTCAGGGGAGCAAGGCAGTATGTCAGGAGAATTCCACTCCAGTCAGTGTTTATAGTACTATTTTCATTTGTAGACTTGGCATTCATGATTTGAACCAGATGCCTTTTGAGTTCTTTCTCTTTCCCAGCAACAGGAAGCACTAGGTGGCGGTGTGAGTTAGCACAACCAATCTGTCACCTTTGGAAACCTTAGCTGAGTCCAAATCTTGATGGGCCTTCCCTTGAGGGTTTTGAATTCTGCCAGCTCACATTATACTTGGCGCTAGCTATTAGTATTAGTTTCTCACTTTCAAAGGCTCTAAGACTGATTAAACCCCACAAAGCAACTAATAGAAAACAACACTCTGCAGGCCAAGACATTTGGCCAGAAAACCTCACCTAAGTAAGATTATAGTGTATTGTAAGAAATCTGTTACTCTGACTTTAAATTCAAGAGCCTACTGTTAAGGTTTCTCGTGAACACACTCTCTCTCTTTCTCTCTCTCAACTACTGGCTGTATCCCAGATGATTTAAAGTCTCTATGCAGTTTTATTGCCCCTACCCATAAAAAGTCAGTTTGTATTAGTTAAAATTTAAAAATAAGGCTTTTAGTTTAATGAGGAACTTTATATTGCCACAAAATGTGTCCTTGTACAATTAAAAACACGATTTGTTTTTGAAGGTTTTCTTTATCTCAAGGTATCCAGTAAGATTCTGGGTTAAAAAGATAAAGTGAGCCTTTTAGTTGAATACTTAGCAGATTCTTTTTTTTTTTCTTGGTGTGTGTGGTGTCCCTGTTTTCTCCTAATCAGAATTGTTTGAGAAGAAGAGATGCTGGTTTGTTGAATCAGTTGCAAGAACTTGACAAGCAGATAAGTGACCTGAGACTTGATGTAGAAAAAACCTCTGAAGAGCACCTGGAAACAGACAGCCGACCTAGCTCAGGTGAGTGAGCATACGACTGAATTCTGCACTCAGGGCTCACTCCATTGAGGTTAGTAAACTCGGACCTGCAAATAGCAATGGAGTTGATTTCTAACAGAGTATTGACAGTTTGCCATTATGTTTGTTGCATGATTGAAAATTTAAGTCAGACAACAAATTATTTTAATAATGAGACTGATTGGTTTGAATAAAGTCTCTTGAATTAAAAATGAAAGCTTCTATTCAAATTTCTGGAGGAGTGGTAGTCCTTTGAAATTTGAGAAAGTCAGAACTAGGCTGGAAAATTAGTCACACTTCTTGAGACCACTTCAAAAGGTTTTTTCTTCTTCTAAACCATTTGGCTACTTAAATAGAATTTTCTGAAACATTTATGATTAAGTTGAGGCTCTGAAAAATCAAAGTTCGTTCTTATACATCTTTAAAGGTAGGACAAAGTAGAAAGGTTGATTTGAGGGTAAAACTTTGAAATTTATCCATAACTATGTGCTCTTTGCCTTTTCCTATGTTTGAAATAAAACCATAAAATCAATACTCTAAAATCGAGACAAAACTGACAAAATCATAAAACTTCCCTAAATCAAACCAATTAACCAACCAAGCAAACACCTCTCTTTCATACATGATTTACTCTTCTTAAGAATTAATATGTATTTTTCCTTGATATGCTTACTTGCAACCACCACTTTTTAATTTATAGGGTTTTATGAGCTGAGTGATGGGGCTTCGGGATCCCTTTCTAATTCCTCCAATTCAGTATTCAGTGAATGTTTATCCAGTTGTCATTCCAGTACCTGCTTTTGTAGCCCCCTGGAGGCCACCATGACCATCTCGGATAGTTGCCTCAAATCTACAGGTAAGAATTTTAAGCATTGACAGAAATTTTAATTAGATGATAAGGGGACTTAATGTTATCTAGCTCCAGTTCCTGTTACAGACAGAAAAGCTAAAGGTCATGAATTTGCTGTACTCCTCGCCATAGCAACATCTGGAACCTATAGTTTGATGTAGGAAATACCTAGAATGAATCTTAATATGCTTTGGGTACCACTTGGCTATATTCCAAGGGGCAATAGAAGGTAACTTTAAAAATTTAAAAATGCTATCCTAATATTGGAGGGTACTAAGTTGAGTTTCTAAGTCTTTGTTTAGATTATCTGCCTTTCTTCTCCTTTTCTCCTCTCCCTTTCCCCCTCCTCCTTTCTCCTTTACCCTCTCTTCCCTTCTTGCTTAGGTCTGCCAGGTCCATGTTTTTCTACCATTGTAAGAGAATCACAAATTATATTCGACCATCTCATCTTAATACAAAAAAATATGGCTTATAAGCTATTGTCAGAAACTCCCTATCTTTGGAAAGGCAGGTGTGGCTTCAATTCTGTGATAGAGAGCAGAGAAAATATTAGAACTTCCATAGGTGCTGGCACAATTCATTGCACTCGAGTTTGCCCATATTTCCAACGGGGGTGCAAGGCTAAAGGCAAGACAAACATTTAACAGCTAAAGTTGCTAATTGGTTGATATCTATTTGTATATGTTTTTGGCAGCAGCAATCATTTGGGAAAGTATAGCACTCTTGTTATCTAGAGTATACTTCAGGCTTGTTGGTAGTTGCTCCCCTTCATCCTGCAAATCTAGTTTCAGAGGGAAAATTTCTAAACCTATTAGAGGGCACTATGATACAGGCTTTAAGGCTTACAAAATGCTCTGGCTCCCGGATTTCCTTAGTTCTCCCAAATGCCACATTTTCACATAACTAAGATAGCTGGGCTGGTTCTTGGGGGCTGGGATATCTGCTTGACATGAAATAGGGAAAAGGAATAAATAAAGAAGTAAAGGCAAACACAGCCTTTAAATAAGAAAAGACAAAGACTGAGGGGTAGGAAAGTGTTAGAACTAATTGTTTATTGGGGCAGAGCAAGTAGAGACGAATTTCCAACTTATGTCTTTACAAATCTCATTGATAACTGGATCTGATTTTTCTTTTCTCCTGAGGCTGTTAACTGTGGAAGTTTAGATAACTTTCCCTCAAGCAAGTGCTAGAATCTAGCATATCTCAAAAATGCAAATGCCAAGCTGGGCACAGGTGGCTCATGCTTGAAATCCTAACTATTCAGGATGCTGAGATCTGAGGATTGTAGTTCGAAGCCAGCCCTGGCAGGAAAGTCTGTAAAACTTTTGTTTCCACTTAACCACCAAAAAAGCCCGAAGTGGAGTTGTGACTCAAGTGGTAAAGTGGCAGGATTGAGAAAAAAATAAAAAGCTAAGGGACAGTGCCTAGATCCTGATTTTAAATCCTAGTATCAGTACCAAACATTTCCCCCATCCTCATTTTTTCCATCACTCTGAGTTTCTACTATTAGAATTTTGGTATGCTTCATCTGAGACTTTCGTTGCAAATGCACAATCCTTATAAAATTAAGCCTACTCTGGTATTTTACAATGAGTTTTTCACTAAATTTTATAAAGCCTGTTCTATGGTTGAGTAGTTTGAAAGCTTTTTTTCTTTTTTCGTTAGTCATGGGGCTTCAATTCTGGGCCTGGGTGCTATCCCTGAGCTCTTCAGCTCAAGGCAAGTGCTCTACCACTTGACCCACAGTTCCACTTCCTGAAAGCATTCTTATTGGCTGAATATCATTCCTTAAGAAAATGTGAAATGCCATTTTTTTTGTGTGTGTGTGTGGGGGGGGGGGGGGGGCCTGGGCGCTGTCCCTGAGCTCTTTTTGCTCAAGTTTAGCACTCTACCATTGAAGCCACAGCATCACTTTTTCTGTGATTGAACTGGAGATAAGAGTCTCACAGACTTTGCTGCCTGGGCTGGCTTTGAACTCTGGTCTCAGCCTCCTGAGTAGCTAAGATTACGGGTGACTGGTTGTCTTTTTTCTTTTTTGGCCAGTCCTGGAGCTTGAACTCAGGGCTCATGGGCACTGCCTCTGAGCATCTTTTGCTCAAGCCTCACTCTACCACTTGAGCCACGGCACCACATCTGGCTTTTTGTGTTTTATGTGGTACTGAGGAATCCAATTCAGGGCTTCATGCATGCTAGGCAAGCACTCTACCACTAAGCCACATTCCCAGCCCCTATTGTCAATTTTTTTTTGTTGAATGTTTTTTTCCCCTTACCCACTGGTACATGGTCTTTAGACAGATTACTAGCTAATGGGGTACTTTTTAATCCTTAGGAGTTATTTCTCAACCCATGAATTTGTCTTAAAAATTGGCCAGAGTCAAGCTAGTGCTACTAATTTTTTCAGTGGACCTTTAAATGCCTTTCCCATTGTCTCGTAAGCTGGTGGGAATATAAAGAAGGCCACTGTAAAGACCTGGCCTGCGGGGCCCTTTGCAGTTCCCTTTCCACACCACGATTTAACTCCCTTGGTGTCATTTCAGATGTGAATCCCAAGTACCAGTGTGATCTGGTATCCAAGAACGGGAATGATGTGTATCGCTACCCCAGTCCGCTCCACGCTGTGGCTGTGCAGAGCCCCATGTTTCTCCTCTGTCTGACGGGCCACCCTCTGAGGGAAGAGGAGAGGCTGGGGAACCAGGCCGGTGACCTCTGCGTCGCGTCCGAACTGGACGATGGCACCAAGACGGACAGTTCCTTGCCGTCTCCAAGCGGCCTGTGGCCTGCTTCCCACGCTTTGGGCACTAAGAAAATGGATGGCTACATCCTGAGCCTGGTTCAGAAAAAAACCCACCCTGTAAGGACCAACAAACCGAGAACCAGTGTGACCGCTGACCCCACCAAAGGGCTCCTGAGGAACGCCAGCGTGTGCGTCAGGGCCGCCGCGGGCGTCCCCCAAAGCAACGGTGTGAACCTCAAGACTTCCAAGCAGGTGTCTTTGCCCCCCGCGGGGACGCCGTCTTCAGACAGCGGGGCCTCCTCGCCGCTGAAGCAGTGGTCCAAGGACCCAAAGGCCGAGCAGCTGGAAGGCCGCAGGCCGTCCCCGCCCGAGGGCTGCTCGGCCGCCGCCGTCTCTGAGCCCCCGAGCGCCAAGGCGGCCTCCCAAGAACACGCGTGGGGTCCCACTGCTGGGCCCACGGAGTCCCTTAAGGAAGGTAGTCAGCTCTCGGCTGGGCTTCCCAAAGACGGCCCCGGTGGGGGCGCCGGCGCCGGGCCAGAGAGCAAAGTCCTGCCACCCCCGAAGAAGATGGCAACCGCCAAAAGCAGCCTGCAGGCCTCCTCGGCCCCCGGGCCGCCTCCTCCTCCGCCGCCGCCGCCGCCTGCGGCCTTCGCTGTGGAGGACAGGCCGGGCCTGGACTTCAAGAGCGAGGGCTCCTCGTCTCAGAGCCCCGAGGAGGGACGCCTGGTGAAGGCTCGGTTCATCCCGGGCCAGGGGCCGCCCGGCGCCGGCGGGAGTGGCCGGCCGCACCGCGGGCACCGCGCCCCGGGCGCCGCGGCCAGGAGCTCGGCGGCGCTGCGGCCCCGCGGCCAGGCCCCGCCGCTGCCTCCGCCCGCCTCCGGGCTGGAGATGGGCGCCCTGCCCACCGTCCGGGAAAAGACGGCCCGGGCGGCCAGCCGCAAGTGCCGCTTCCCCGACGACCTGGATACAACTAAGAGACCGAAGAAGGCCGCGTGCCGAGGCCGGCGCGGCGCGGGCGGTGCGGGCGACGCGGCGCTGCCCGGCAGGCCTCAGGGCGGCCACCGAGCGGGCCTCAAGGCCCACGGCGCCGGCGGCGGCCACGGACGGGAGGTCGTGGTGGCCAAACCTAAGCACAAGCGAACCGACTACCGCCGCTGGAAGTCCTCCGCCGAGGCCTCGTACGAGGAGGCGCTGCGCCGGGCGCGGCGCGGCCGCCGCGAGCCCGCGGGCGCGTTCCCGGTGCCCGTGCCGCCGCCCTTCGCCAGCCCCTACGCCTTCGCGGCGGCCGCGGCCGCGGCGGCCAGCGACTCCGAGTACTCGGCCGAGTGCGAGTCGCTCTTCCACTCCACCGTGGTGGACACCAGCGAGGACGAGCGCAGCAACTACACCACCAACTGCTTCGGCGACAGCGAGTCCAGCGTGAGCGACGGCGAGTTCGTGGGCGAGAGCACCTCCACCAGCGACTCGGAGGAGAGCGGCGGCCTCATCTGGTCCCAGTTCGTCCAGACGCTGCCCGTGCCGGCCGTCGCCGCCCAGGACCTGCGCCGCCACCCCGCCAAGGCCTTCGTCAAAATTAAGGCCTCGCACAACCTCAAGAAGAAGATCCTCCGCTTCCGCTCGGGCTCCTTGAAGCTGATGACCACGGTCTGAGTCGTCGGGGGAGAGGGAAGGCAGACACCACTCCCCCCCCCCACGCCATGGAGTCCCACCCTTCCCCATCCCCCACCACAGACTCCCATCCCCCACCACGGACCCCCCACCCCCACCACGGACTCCCACCCTCCCCATCCCCCCAACATAGACCTATCCCCCATCCCCCACCACAAGCTCCCACCCTCCCCATCCCCCAACATAGACCCATTCCCCACCAGACTCCCACCTTTCCCATCCCCCACCAGACCCCCACCCTCCCCATCCCCCACCACAGACTCCCATCCCCCCAACATAGACCCATCCCCCACCACGGACCCCCATCCCCCACCACAGACTCCCATCCCCCCAACATAGACCCATCCCCCACCACTGACCGCCCCATCCCCCAACATAGACCTATCCCCCACCACAGACTCCTACCCCCCAACGAAGACCCATCTCCCACCACGGACCCCCCCATCCCCCACCACGGACTCCCACCCTCCCCATCCCCCAACATAGACCCATACCCCACCACGGAACCCCCCATCCTCACCACAGACTTCCACACCCCTCCCCCCCACGGACTCCCACGCCCATCCCGAGTTTCTTGATTTTCGTGTAACGCTTTCATCGGATGCTTTTCTTGTTTCTTTTTCATTAAGGGTTAAATGATGTCTCCCTTACCTCGTGTATGGACTGCTAGTGCCTTTGAATTGGAAGTGTTACAGGATGTGACTGCTAGTTAGAAGTAAATACCGAGGTGGTTTTTGTTTTTGTTCTTTTTTAATGGTGGTGATAGTGAACGAATTTGTGGTGTAGAAAAGAAAACATTTCTGAGCAAATCACAAAAAGTTGAGGTTTTTAAGGTGCAGGTTGTTACCGGGATGAGGACGATTGATTCCCAAGGTCAAGTGGATGGAGTTTTCACGCGTTACATTTGCTTCCTGATGGTGGAGGGCTGAGTCCGAAATGGTCGGAAGCTAGGGCTTTCCTGTTGAAGAGCTTAACATAGGATTTGTGTGTGGCATAGGTATGAGAGACAGCCACTTTTCCTATAAGTTTTTTTTAATGTTTTATTTAATTGTATCATCTACATTTCTCAGCTGTCTCCTCCTCCTTGTTTCATCTCAGAACTGTTTTGTTTACTGAACTCAGAACTTGTCGACCAGATACAGCAACCTGGATAAGGAAGGCTGGTCATACCTTAAAAGGAATCACAAAACCTTTTGTCACACTTGGTGCCTAACCCTTTCTAGGGCCGCATAGCCAGCATACTGATGCCTTTCTCTGCATCTCTGATTTGTAGCCAGTACAACCATTTGTCCCTTGGAGGACAGCTTTGGGAAAACACTTTGGTCCTCTGGTACAGAGAAACTCACTGTTCTGGGCCACTCCCAGCCCACTGAGCACTCTGCCACCTAAGCATTGGCCTCTACATTAGTGCAATTTAGTCCAGATTGGACCACTGACTATCTGGAAGGGCTTTAAAAAAATTTTTTTTTGTAAACAGTATTGTGTAAAATTGCTTTTTTAAAGTACCAAAATCTGCATGTTTTGTGCATGAGTAGTAGTTGATTTGATATTCTTGTTGTTAAATTACTGTATTATATAAATGGTATGTGTTTTTATATATATCATTGTGTAAATTTAATATAACACATAAGCTGTAATAAAGTTTGTTGTACTGCTATTAAGTTTATTATTTGGGTATAAATCCAGATGTTTACACTATAAGTCTTGTGATAGTTATTGATGTTATTTGTCAAATTTATATTAGACCTGTTCTACAACTAGAAAAGTATTTGCAATAGTTAAAACAGGTTTTAGAAGCCAGGAGCTAGTGGCCCATGCCTATAATTCAGGCTGAGATCTGATTGCAGTTTTGAAGCCAACTTCTCGCAGAAGAGTCCAAGAGACTCTTTATCTCCAATTGACCAGTTAAAAAAAAAAAAAAAGCAAAAAAAAGTTTTAGTATTTGTGGAAGTGGATAATGAGTAAGCAAACCTAGAAAAACAAGCTCTTTTTTTTTTTTGTTTTTTGCCAGTCCTGGATCTTGAACTCAGGGCCTGGCACTGTCCTGGAGCCTCTCTGTGCTCAAGGCTAGTGCTCTACCACTTGAGCCACAGTGCCACTTCCAGCTTTTTCTGTATATGTGGTGCTGAGAAATTGGACCCAGGGCTTCATGCATGCTAGACAAGCACTCTACCACTAAGCCACATTCCCAGCCCCAAGCTACTTCTTTAGAGTAGCATAATAGCCAGGTGTTGGTGGCTCATGCCTGTAATCCTAGCTACTCAGGAAGCTGAGATCTGAGGATTGTGGTTTAAGGGCAGAAAAGTCCATATGAGATTTCCATATGAGATTCTTATTTCCAATTAACCACTCAAAAACCAGAAGTGGATCTGTGGTAGAGTGCCATCCTTGACCTAAAAGCACTCAGGGACAGTGTCCAGACCTTGAGTTCAAGCTCCACGACTGACCCCCCTCCCTCAAAAAAAAAAAAAAAGAGTGGGATGGTATTTTACAATTTAAAGCTATTTAAGAAAAAAAAATTAATTGATGGTATTGGGTTTTGAACTCAGGGCCTTATGCTTGGCCCACCATTTGAGCTATGCCTCTAACCATATTTGCTTTAGCTATTGAAAAGTTGTAATAATTGTTATTTTATTGTTATTATAAAGGTCATATACAGAAGGGTTACTCCCCTTTTTTTTTGGTTGGTTGTAAGGTTTGAACTCTGAGCATGGGCACTGTCCCTGAGCTCTTCAGCTCAAGGCTAGTGCTGTACCACTTGAGCCACAGCGCCACTTCTGGTTTTCTGGTGGTTAATGGGAGATAAGAGTCTCATAGACTTTCCTGCCCAGACTGGCTTTGAAGCGCCATCCTCAGATCTCAGCCTGAGTAGCTAGGATTACAGGCATGAGCCGCTGGCACCCAACAAGGGTTACCGTGTCTGTGTGTGTCTGTGTGTGTCTGTGTGTGTCTGTGTGTGTGTCTGTGTGTCTTGCTTGTGGGGTTTGAACTCAAGGGTTACCGTGTGTGTGTGTGTGTGTGTGTGTGTGTGTGTCTGTGTGTGTCTGTGTGTGTCTTGCTTGTGGGGTTTGAACTCAAGGATTACCGTGTGTGTGTGTGTGTGTGTGTGTGTGTGTGTGTGTGTCTTGCTTGTGGGGTTTGAACTCAGGGCCTGGGCACTGTCTCTGAGCTCTTTTGTTCAAGGTTAGTGTTTTACCCCTTTGAGTCACAGCTCCACAGCTCCATTTTTGGGTTCTTGAGTGGCTAATTGGAGATAAGGGTCTAGTGGGGACTTTTCTGCCTCTGCCGGCTTTGAACCATGCTCCTCAGATCTCATCCTACTGAGTAGCTAGATTATAGGTGTGAGCCACCAGAGTCCAGCCCAATTAAATTATTCTTTTTTTTTTTTTTATGTCGGTCGTGGGGCTTGAACTCTGGGCCTGAGTGCTGTCCCTCAGCTCTTCAGCTCAAGGCGAGCACTCTACCACTTGAGCTACAGCACCACTTCCGGTTTTCTGGTGGTTTATTGGAGATAGGAGTCTCACGGTCTTTTCTGCCCAGGCTGGCTTTGAACCGCGATCCTCAGATCTCAGCCTCCTGAGTAGCTAGGATTACAGGCGTGAGCCACCGGCATCCAGCTTCTTTCAAGAATTTTTAAATAACAGCTTCCCATTCTCTTCTCCCAACCGGGATTTGAGTAATATTATACATAGCAGCTAATAGCTTATAGATTTTCAGTGTTTTTAAATTTAGTATAGTCTTCCCACATGAAAAAAAAAAATAAGGGCATTGGTTTTTTGAAAGAATAGTTGCTTTATAGAAAGTGTGGGATTTGGTTGTTTGCTTATATTTTAACCATCTATCTCCTTTTCTATAAATCAAATGAGACCTGATTGAATTCAGGTAAAACATTCTTGGCTAGATTTCACTAGAGATGTATAATTTTATTGTTTCATATCAGGAAATGTATTAATTTGCCCCACTATTACTGAATTTAAAAGTGATCCATTGGCTAAGTCCAGGAGTATAAATGTGTTCATTATAAAGATATGTTTTCTTTGCAAATAGAACTGGGAGATTCTTTAGTACTATGGATAAACTATCGCTCAAATCCCATTTACTAGTTTTAATTTATATTGCTGATCTTTTCCTAATTCAGTTACTGCCTAGGGATATGGAATGGTGGTTTTCTAAGTGTTGTTTCTTCTATTTTTATTTACTGCCATTCTAAGAAAAGAACTCTTACTTTTCTACTTTTCTCTTTAAGTAGCACAATGGATCTAATGGGATTTTATTTATTTTGTATCTTACAGTTGCCTAAGTCTGTTCTTTCTGCTGTTTTACATGTCCCAAATTTTGCCAATGCAAAGGCAAATTTGTGTCTATATCAGGGTTTGAACTCAGGGCCTTTTGTGCTGCTTGACTTGCTTGCTTGGGCTGATATTCTATCACTTGAAATGTATCTCCAGCCCTGCTTTTTGCAGATTATTTTGGAGATGCTGTCTGGTGGACTTTTCTGCCTAAGCTGTCTTTGAATTGTAATCTTCTAGACATCAGCCTCCTGGGTAGTTAGGATTTCAGGTGTGCGCCACCTGAAGGGATAGAAGGTAAATTTTATTAAAAGGATACTATAGTGTCAATCCCATAATTCAGATATTTATTAAGGTATATATAACTTAATTAAAAATAATTTTACAAATGCTAGATATTTGTTGCAATTATTTTATTTCACTTTATTGAGATGGTATCTTGTTTTGTAGCCAAGGCCAGCCTCAAATTCAAACTGTATTCTCCAGGTTGGCCTCATCCTCCTGCCTCAGCCTCCAAATGTTGGCATTACAGTCACCGTGCATCTCCAGAGGTTAACAATTTAAGACAACAAAGTCCTTTATTTAAAAAAAAATTTTGTTTTAGAAATGTTATATTTTTCTCATATTTTGTGTACCTCTTATCTCTAGAAAGGCTTTCTTTTTTGTATTTCATTGAGCTTTATAAAGATCACA